GGAGAGTAACTAAGATCAGAGTAGGGACGAAGAGCAGGAGAAGAAGATTAACATTTAACAGGGATGAGAGGTGGGAGGGAAAGGGAGAAAGAAGGGAAATTGCATGGAAATGGAAGGAGACCCTCAGGGTTATACAGTGGAGGGGGTAGAGAGGAGGGGAGGGGAGGGGAGAGGTGGGGAGGGGGGAGGGTGGAGGATGGGAAAGGCAGCGGAGCACAACAGACACTAGTATGGCAATATGTAAATCAATGGATGTGTAACTGATGTGATTCTGCAATCTGTGTATGGGGTGAAGGTTGGAGTTCATAACCCACTTGAATCAAAGTGTGGAATATGATATGTCAAGAAATTTGTAATGTTTTGAACAACCAACAATAAAAAATTAAAAAAAAAAGAATACTTGAGGGAAAATGGTAGAATTTTGATAAAAAGTTAAATTTAAATATGAACATGTAACCAGGGGTGCAAAACCATGGAAGAAATGTTCACTGTGTGACATTGGGTCTGAAACACCTGCAGGATCAGGACTAAGACAAGGAGGTCAGTCACTTCACTTTTATTAAGCATTGTACCAGAAGATACAACCTGAGCATTAAGAGTGCAGAATTAATAAAATTAGGGATGTAAAGTAGATATAAAGCTGCCTTTATTTATATATAACATAAATATCTACAAAAAAATTAAAGAATAAAATAAAAATGGGTGAGAAAATTGAGAACACATACCCTTGCAGAATTGATTGCAATTTTCTATACCAATTAAAAAAATGAAATTTCAGAATATAAAATTTAAAATTCCACAAACCTGTTTCCCTTGATAGTCACAACCATGCCTCCAGCACTGTGATGTCTCCCTGTTCAGTTTCCTCTTATCTGGATTAATTTTACAACACTAAACACAGCTGAATAGGCAGTAATCACACTTTCCCTCTTTGACACTTTTATTTAGATATAGACTATTCTTGATATAATTGTTCATCAAAGAGATTGTTATAATTATTGAGAAAAATGATTATCTGATGAAAACACTAGTTAATGACGATGCTCTGTTTATAAAATACTAGAGGTAGTAGAGAATTAGCTTTCTTTTTTAGGAGAGAATAGGTTGACTGTAGGCTCAATGTCAACGGGAGGTAGGCTAAACAAGATTTAAGGGAGTCTGTCTATAGAGATGGAGTTTGTGCTTGAGGAGACTAACAGACTAATCCAAGATGGAGTCACTGTACAAAGAATCCCTGTCATTAAACCTGAGCTATTTAATTGTAAGTTGGAACCTTCCAAGAAATCAGGAAATAACAGCAAAACACCCAAACACACCAGATTTTTAATAATATCAAAAGAAACAGGCTAACAGGAGATTTACATCAACCAATCACAGGGGCCCAGTCAACCGTTGCAAGAATGGTAAGGAAGTCCCTAGGCCATAAACCACATAGACCAGGAGAGAAACCTGAGATCACCAATCTGCTCCTTGCAGTATCTTGCTGCATCCTTGTTCCTGCTCAGGCTGTCATGCAGCCACTACCACTTGTCATACCTAGCAGAGCTCCAATCTGCATTGCAGACCAATGCTGCCTGGTTCCTCAATCACTAAGAATAGCCAACTATATCTTTGAAATTTAATTTGTTGAAGTTAGTTCTCTGCCATGTGTAAGTAGATACAAAAGGTAGAATATTTACAGCAGTCACCTTATCCTATGTTCTCACCAACAGTACCATGGTTGGTTATGATGAGGGAAATATTGATTTGTTCAAAAAAATAATTGTGACTGTCTGCATGAAGTTTTCATCAAGCACAAATATATCATTCTATTTAGCACATATGCCCTTGTATGTAAGGAAGCAGAGTCATACCCACATATTATTTGTAGATCATAGATAGACAAATGATACCATACAACTATCCTTCCATCATCTCTAGCTGATGAACTCTAAATGACCTTGTGTTCTTAGCAGCAGATTGAATGTACCTCCACCAAGCCATAGGATCGCTGAGGGAATGATGTTGTAGGCCAGGATGCTTTATCAATTACAAGAGATAGTGCTTTGAGAGTTTGGCTTTGGGGGTCAAGTGGGGGCAATGTACAGGTGTTGAGGAGGGAGTGGAATAGATATAGGGTGAGACTTAATGTTCAGGCCCACGATTTCTCTTTGTTCAGAGTATAATGATGTCAGGGCAGGAAGTGAGATGGAGGCTGGTCCAGGTTGTATACCAGGAACAGACACAGTACAATTTGGGGCATAGACAAGGACCAGTCTACACCACTGTGCCATCCACCAGGCACAGGAATACACAGCAGAGTCACTTTCTTCCAGATTTCTTAATACAAATTACAACTCCCATCTGTGAGTTTATAAGCAACTTATTTCCTTGAACTGATACCTGGGTCAAATTCAAACTGTAAATGTCATGGTAGAAAAGGTGTCCTGGGTCCTCCCTTCCCTAAATTGGTCTCAGTAGATGTAGTTATTTGCTTTATGAAATTAACAGATGATTACCACATTTGAACCCAGGTGACCTGGTGACTGAAATCATACTCCCTTCTAAATTAGGAGCCATTTGACTGCTTGCAGAAATAATAACAATAAAAATGAACGAGTAAGGGGAATGTGAATTCTTTACTATGGCTTGCCAATGGGGGAAAATATATATCTCATGAGGATCTATGACACATAATTACCAGGACACAGTATGGCTAGAAGTAGGGCTAGAGCCCACAGCATAGTTAGGGTGGGAGTTAAGCTTTGGGCTCCTGGTTTCCCTTTCTTCAGAGTACAATGAGGTCGGGGGCAGGAAATGGGATGGGGTTGATCTCTATCTGTGTACCAGGAGCAACCAAAGTAACATTTTTTAATACAGATAAAGGAAGGTCTGAACCACTGTGCTAGTCCAGTAGGTGCAGTAATAGACAGCAGAGTCACTTTCTTCCACATTTTGTACTACAAATGTACATCTTCCATCTGGTCCTTTATTAGCATTATATTTCCCTGAAATGATTCCTGAGGACACTACAACCTTGGATTGCAAAAAGTTGTAGTAGAGAATGTGTCGTGGAGCCTGCCCCTCTTTGAACTGGTACCAGTGGATATAATTACTTGCTTCATTAAAATCACAAGTGATTGGCACATGCGACCCAGGTTTACTTGTGACTGACATCATTCCCCTTTCCAAACCGGAAGATGTGTGACTGCCTGGAATGGTAATAATAATATAAATTAATGGCAAACAGGTAATGGAATTCATTGTTATGGCCTCTTTGTGGAAAAATGACATCCCATCTGCATTGATGCCACATACTTACCGGGAGGCAGGGTGGCTAGAAGTAGAGCTAGAGCCCACAGCATGCCTTCTTCCCTGGGGCTTAAAAGGAAGAGGACCAGATGATAAGAGGAGAAGAAAGGCCTCCCAACACTCAAATTCTGCTCAAAATGAAAGGGATCCCACCAGCACTAACTTAGAGCTAATCCTCCTGACTGAGTCAGAGGCAAGGAGAAGGAACTGAGAAGCTGAAGGGGTGGTGCTGGGAGGAGCCTCTGCCCACTTCTCTAGAGTGCCTCCTCCCACCAATGGCCACTGAGGGCAGGCCCTCTGCAGAGGAGGAGAATCCAGGAACCTGCAGAATTCAGAGCTGAAGAAGGTTGAGCACAAACTTCGGGGGAGGCTGATCCCTGATGAAAATGCCTCTCTTCTTGAACTTCAGGTCTCTGAAGTTTAGAGTTTTCAGTTTGCTGATGCTGCCATGATCTTGCCCTGAGATAGAACTTCTTGACTATGTCCTGAACCTCCTGAACCACCTTCATTAGTTGTTGATCTTAGGGCAACAACCAACTGCAAATCTGATGAGCCTTGGATCTACGATTTTAAAAGAGATGGGATGGTGGCTGCATGTGACACTACTCAAACACAAATGGATGTGTGGAAGGGAAGGGTCAGTCCAGGGATATGAAGTTGCCACAGAAGCAGCACTGAAAACATGAGGGCCCTAGGTCACCTGCAGGATGACTTTGCAGGTCCCAGTATGCTCCATTGTCAGTCAGTTCATATCATGATCCTTCCTCTGTTCAGGGAGACTGAATCCGACCCGTCAATTAATAATTGAAGGAAAGTCACGTGCTGGATCCTAATGGAAACACTGCTTAATGTGTTGAAATAAAACATCTTTAGAAAGCGAAACACCTTTTACATCTCAGAAGAGGAGTTGAATGTATACCAAGTGTAGAGATAAGCCCCATGTTAGGTTATTAATTTTACCTAAGAAGAACCATTACCGTAGACACACAGGGAAAAGCCAGTAGAATGGAACTCAACCTCACAGGAAGAATGAAATGTTTGATGTCTCAAAGGCTGACAATGAGCTCAGAAAACGTAGAATGAGTGTATGTTTAGAATGTGCCATGAAGTCAGACTGTGAAAGCCTATATTACCCCTGAATCTAGAGAGTTTGAGTTCAGAACTTTGACACCCACTTTGCACCATGGCTAGGCAGGAGAGGGAGGAACATTTTTGGTTTATGCTCACAATAGCCTACATTCCTTTTCTCACAGACTCTAGTCACCAATTTATGTGATGTTAATGTCATATGTAAAACCTCACTAAAGTTGAACCTGATGTTATGTTTTCTCTGAAGAGAGACTACTGTTATTCTTTCTGTGTATGTCTTTCTGCTCCTGAAAAACCTTGCTATTTTTCACATCTACGCATACGTGTGCTAATGGCTTCAAGGACATGGGTTTTCCTCCTATGTCTATTAAAAAAATTAACCCAAAGAATTCTTAAATCAAATATCAGGGAAAAGTCAGACATTTGGTATTATCTTGAGGCTTCAAGTGTTCTTTTCCCTTTCCTTCAGAACAGTGTCAGAAGAGGTGGCATGTAGCTCAAGGATAGCTTGCATAGATAGTATCCTCATGCTCTGCATTAAAACCCAGCACCAAGAAAGAAACAAAAACAAAAACAACAAAACCAGAACAGTACCCAGGGAGTGGACAGAAGGTGTGGTGTGTAAACAATCTTGAGCTTTAAGTTTCCTAAACCCCTCCCACAGAGGATAACAACCTTTGCATATCCAACACAGAAAGCCCAGCATACCACAGCAGGGAGAGCAGGTCCCATCCAAGCCTCAGCAGTGTAAAGGTGGATGCTTCCTTCCACTAGCTGTCGCTTTCTGAAAGGGAGCAAAGTTGGTTGTGGTTTAACTGCCTTCACCTTCTCTTCTAACACCCCAGCCACCCTGCACTGCCCTCACCTGTGCTGCCCTAAACTGTGAGGGCTGGTTTGACTCTGAGCCTTTTCCAGGAATCAACCACATTTGACAGAGCACAAAAACAAAGAAGCCTGAGAAAATAAAATACCATCAGCTACACCAGTGCACTCCCACTGCTATGTTCCCACAACCAGAGCTTTCCCTCTCTGCACTGATCAAGTTCAAGGCCGCCCAAATACACTGGGGGAAGGAAGGGGCTCAGGTTTGAAACCACAGGAGAAGCTGCCTAGTGCCCAGCCAGTGATGTCAGCCCCACAAAGCCCTCAGTGATCTCAATGATTCCTGCCTTTGTGTCTGCTTTCCCAGGGTAGGGAGGGTTCCATATCTCTGAACAGAGGGGAAGCATGTGGCCAAGAGGTGCAGGAGCATAAAGGAGTAGCTCTAAAGTAAATCTGATATTTTTGGACTCTGGCTGGTCTTATTTGTTTCCAAATGGGAATCTCTACTTGTTTTCCAAAGAAAGTGTCTCACAGAAAGTGAAGCTGATTGTAAATGAGCAAGACATTTCCAATATTAAATAAGACTTTGTTTTAATTCAAATTTATAAGTTTCAAACTGTAAAATGATTCATCAAATAGAAAAATATGCATTAATTTTTTACCCACCTTCCATAAATTGAAGGCTTCATTTTGTATTATTTCCTAAAGAAATGCAGAAAGACTCAGCAAACAAGAGCTCATATTTCTTAGTATTATTATTATTAATAAAAATATTGTCAAAGGACCACAGCAAATATTGCAAGAGATATAAATAGAACTTAAACATATGAAATGAAAAGATGTTAATCTCCACTCAAAGCAAGAAAGAGAAAAGCAAGTACAATCACAACAAGACCCTATTTTTCACTTGTCAGATTAACAAAATTCTGATGTTTGGCAGCACACTGATAAATGCACATACATTTGGATAATAGAGCCATGTGGGTTCTCTATGGAGGGCAGGTTAGCATTGTCTATCAAAATGACCACTGAGCACATGTGCACATGGACATAAAACTGTTTTTTTTTTTTTTTTTTACTTTGAGAATATATTAATACAAACCAAGGACTTATCAGAGGGAAATGATGAAATATAATATTTCATGACAAATGCCTGTGGCTCTCTAAATGCACTGACCTAGGAAGAGATTTCAGATTGATAAATAAAAAAAGGAGTGCAGAACAATGTACATTGTACACTATTTTATAAAAGACAGTGAAATGGGAATATACATACATTCACATATATACATGTATTCATATATATATATATATATATATATATACTTACAGAAATTTCAAGTAGAATGTTTTGAATATAAATGTATTACCTAACAGTTTCAGTAAGTTCATAATGCATATATTTCAATAACATCTTTATATATGCATATGTATTATATTTGATACCATGATTATTTTATATTTCTTCAATGAATTTCAATTTTGAACATGAATATTGATCTATCCAATGACATCTTTAATTGCATTAATTTCTTATTGGGCATATGGTTTAATTTAGGTTTTATCTATGTATCAATATATTGAATGAACATCTTTCTACATAATTTTGGCATGCATGTACATATATATGGGTCCTGTGCTCTCTCCATGATGGCTCCTCATGGATTCCAATCTGAGCTAGCTGTCCTGTACTTCTTCTGAAGGTACTTCATTATCTTGCAAGCCTCACTCCTGGCTGTGCATAGATACTTTTTTGAAGTTCCTGTACCCGGCCTGTGATAAGGTCCATGCCTCAGGGACTCTCGGGGGCTCCCATGAAGACAGAGAGACCCAGAGGCAGAAGGGCAGAGCAGCAGGTCTCCAGTCAGACTTGGAATCATGTGGACTCTGGGTTCACTCAGTGTTTAATACAGGCATATTTGTCATTGTGATTTACTTGTTATCCTCAGGCATATTTAACGTTGTGGTTACTGTGTGATTAACTTTGGTCTCTAAGATCTGGTTTGTCAGTGAAATGGACATAATAGCTATATGGTGGTGCACTGGAGAGAACATGAACTTCCCTGTGAAATTCCTGATGTTAAGTGGTATATCTTTAAAGAAAACAAAAAGCAAACCAATAACTAGTCTAATAGAAGAAGGTGGGAACCATGCATTCAGTGACATAAGTGTTCATGGCTCACAAAAATGTTGAATTCTAGTCTTTTGGCTGAATTATATTATCATGGTGTATTATCTCTGGTTCTGTCTTAGCACTCTGAATTTCTAGTTTGACAGCTGTATGGGACCTTGATTATACAATGCAGAAAATCAACTAATCAGTGTAGTTTGATATTTAGACAAAAGCCTTCACAAAAATGAAGTTCATGGGGAAAATAATTTCAAAGCAGTGAAGAGAACTTTTTGAGAACTCTTTTCTGGAAATTTTTGCTTTGTAAAATGATTGAAAACATATGAAATTGTTTAAGTTTTTTAAAGATAAGAAGTACATGAAATACTCTAATTCGATGAATGATAATTGAGACTCAACTGTCTTTGTTGTGAAACTGTATAAACATTTACCCCATTTTCCCATTGAACACCTGTGGATGAAGCCCACTATTCTCCTGTTTATTTCATGCAGCCATGTGGCGTGGACTTGAGTCACAGAAGGCCTATTGGTGGGTTGAAGCTCAGTGTGTAAAGGTTTTCCCAGCATGAAAATTGTGTGGCAGGTTGGCTTCTAGCCCTCTAATAGTAAGAACAGCATAGGAGCCAGCAGAGGAAATGCAGCTGGTAAGGAGGCCACTCTCTTCACAATTTTTTTAAGCTATACATGACAGTAGAATATATTCTGACATAATTAAATATATGGAGTATAACTTCTCATTCTTCTGGTTGTATATGATGTATAATTACATTTTTTTATGCACATAGCAATATCCAATTCATTCTATTGTGTAATCCAAAGTACTTTTATTCTTCCCTAACACCCCACCCCCATATTGAGAATTAGTACCAATATATCAGAGAAAACATTTGGTCTTTGGATTTGGGGGATTAGCTTGGAGATTTTAATGAAGCATCATAGTTTTTATTCTAGGAGCAAAAAACTATAGAATGTAAGAGCATAGATGCTGAAGTCAGGCTGTTTAGGAAACTCTGTTGCTTATTAGCTCTGGGGGACTTGTTAGCCATTGGTGCCTCAGTTTCCCCTTCTATAGACAGATGAAGTTGTACATCACTCAAGATATGCTCATGAGAATTAAATGAGATAGCACACAATTAAACCAATATCTGGTACATAGTGAGCACTGTATAGTGTTTGTTATTAATGCTTCATTTGGATGTCAATCACTGAATGTGTAATTTTGCCTAAAAGTCTGAAACTATTTAATTTGAGACATTTTTTCTAAAGATGGATAACCAAAGCAATGTGGGAATGAAATAGAATAATGATAATGAGGTGCATATTTTAAAAGGTAGAAAAGAATTTTGAATGTTTTAATGGCAACATGGTAAATACTTGAGGAGATATATACTCTTACTTTAATTTAAACATTTATAAAGTACACATGTATCAAATACCACAAGCTTTCATAAATATGTACAGATTTTATGTGTCATTTTAATAAAAAGAGCAAATGGTATAGCTAGTTAGGGCCGACTAAGTAGCCATTGCTCTACTTAGCTGTGAAGTGTGACTCCTGGTCCAGGATTCCTCCTACCACACCATGGGGCCTCATTACATGGGTGAAATTGTGTTGTGGAAAAGACTGGACCAATAAGGATGCATAACCGACCTCTTGCCTCAGAAACACAGCTGGACACCTCAGAATGCTCCCCAAGGTGATTGTGAGGAACTCAGGGCTCAGTCAGTCTATGGAAGGAGCTAGGAAGTCAGAACTTATACCCAGAGAGGACCTGAATTTCACAGTTTTTTTCCCAAAAAGAGAAGTGGCCAATCAAGGATGCACACTTAAAATGGAAGGGAGAAATTCTATTCTACCTAAAACAAGGGGACAAATGATAGCAATTCCAGAGTAGGTCACACTTTAAAGAGAAAAGACAATTTGGAAGTTAGTGGCAAACAAGTGGAATGATGTGTATGTGAAGAGAAAACTTCTTTATGCACTCAAAGCCTTAAGGAAACCCTGACTCATTGGAGAATGCCTTTAGTAAAGAAGCACAACATGTGTTTGATTGTATTTTATTTTTTCAAATTAAAATGTGTGAAAGAAAGAGATTCTATTGTGTCAATTACATATGGGTATCTACTTAGATTCTGTGTCACAGAGACCTGACTTAAAATTATGAGCATCACTTAAAAAATGACCTTAATAGAAAAATTATATTTTCCAGTCTATCAACTATACACCATAATTGTGCCTACCTTAAAAGGGATCATAGAGGGTTCATGGAATGCCTGGTGCCTTGTAGAAGCTAAGTCCCTGCTCCATAGCACCCATCCTCTCTGTAGAGAAGTAAGAACAGAGATTGTCTTTGGTGTTTTTGAATGTATGTGAGTGTGGTCCCCACAATTTCTAATGTAGAGTGGAGCATGTGCAAGTGCTGTGGCAGACTTGCTTGTCTGCACCAAGCATTACCAACTCACCTAACCCACAGAGCTCCAGGACACAGGGAATTCAACTTCATTTGTAGGAAGAAATTATGGCAGAGAGATAGCAAGACTTTGAGGTCACCCAAATACGACATTCTAGACCCAAGAACTTGGGTCCAGCAGCACAACTCCTCTGTTTCACTTCCCCTTGGGGTTTATTGCAGCACTTACGTTGTTATAGTGAGTATGGGGAAATATGTTGCTTTTGAGACTCTAGCACAGAGCTCAGCACACACAGAGCCAAGTCACATTAGTTGTTTTCCTATTTTCATGTGAATGTCTTCAACCCAGTGAACTCGAGCCTACCATCTTTAAAAGAGCAGAAATGTGAGTGTCTTCATTTGGCTATGGAGCTTGTGCCTCAAGGTAATCCCATGATCCCTATCTCAGGAACAGAATTGGAAATCAGTGTTGGACCCTTGTTAACACCAAGGCTTGAAGTCATGGCTAGTTGTCATGATGCTCCTCACTGTGGACCTTCATTCAGTTTCATCCATTTAAAGTACAACTGGCCCCAAATAAACTGTATTCCTAAAAACCAAATGCTGAATGTTTTCTTTGACATAAAGGAGGCTGATTCATAGTGGGATAGGGAGTGGGAGCATGGGAGGAATAGATGAACTCTAGATAGGGTAGGGGTTTGAGGGGAAGAGAGGGGGATGGGGTTATTAATGATGGTGAAATGTGATGATCATTATTATCCAAAATTCAGGTACGAAGGCACAAATTGGTGTCAATATACTGTGTATGCAAACAGAGATATGAAAAATTGTGCTTTAAATGTGTAATAAGAATTGTAATGCATTCTGCTGTCATATATAAATAAAAATAAATAAATAAAATAAATTAGAAAAAATGACACACAGGAAAAAAAAGCCTGGTAATAAGATTTAACAATACAATTCATGTGATAAATTCTACTCAAGGATTTTATGTTAACCCATTCTTGTATATCTGGAAGAAACACTTTTTATTCATTCTTTATACATTGCTAATTTATTTTTACCAATATTGTCTTTAGAAATTTAGTCTCATACATAAATGAAGTTATCCTATTTAAAAAAAAGAAAAAAAGCAAGCACAGAAGGCAAGTAGCAAAGAAGGCTGCTTTGGGGTGTACAGAATGTAAGGGTTTTAATGGTCTCTGGTTACAAGACCCTAAAGGCTGTGATTAGAAGCTACATGCCATTTCTACCAAGGCTTTGATGATTTGGGCTGGCTGGAGTGGTCAGAGGCTACCATGGGCTTCTTGTTAGAAGATGTTTAGGAAATTCTGGAAATTCTGTTGCTTATTAGCTCTCGGGGACTTGTTAGCCCTTGGTGCTTCAATTTCCCCTTCTACAGATAGATGAAATTGTACATAACTCAAGATGTGCTTGTGAGAATTAGATGAGGTAGCACACAATTAATCCAGTATCTGGTACATAGTGAGCACTATACAAGTGTTTGTTATTATTGCTTCATTCAGATGTCAATGAATGTGTAATTTTGCCTAAAAGTCTGAAACTATTTAATTTGAGAAAATTTTTCTAAAGATCGATAAACAAAGCAATATGGGAATGAACTAGAATAATGATAATGAGGTGCATATTTTAAAAGATGGAAAAGAATATTGAATTTTTTACAGTGAGGCCAGAGGCTACCGTGGGCTTCTTGTTAGAAGATGAAATTCCTGGATTTTTCACTGGTTTGAAAAATCTTTATGCAATAATGACAAAAGAATACATATGAAAACTGAGAAGCCTGAACCTAGCTGCTAGCCTGCTAAGTCCTAAGCAGAAACTTTTCAGGAAAATAAACTATAAAGATAATATGACTGTGTTGTGCTACCATCTGTTAGGAGCTCTTCCCATTGCCACCAACAGCTGTTCTTCTAAGCAGATAGAAGGTGATGATGGCCAAGTAGACCACACTCTTGAGCAGCAGGAGGAGGTAGGTCCAGTAGGCAGAGGTGTATGTGAACTGCAGCCTCAGTGCATCTAAGAGAAGTCAGGCAATTAGTTTCACCCATCTTTAACAGGAAAGGCCCCCTCATGGGGGAGGGTGCCACAGGTATTTATTTTTAGTGACCTACACTGAAGTGACACCACCCCCACCAAACCCCAAAGGTCAACATCTACCACTCCCACCCAAACCACCCAGTGCAAGGCTCAGCTTGCAAGTCAAGTCCATTAACAACCTCTGCCATACTCACTTAGAACCTCATAATATTAAAACATTAAGGCTTTGCTTATAATGTTTGAATCCAATGAAAGACAAACGTATGTGTGAAACTAGATTTTAGATTCTCTTCACCCTCAATATGTCTCTAAGTAAGTATAATAGATAATATTCACCATCCACTAACCAAATGCCAAATGTGTTAAGTAGTCTGAATTATGGATGGTCCCATATAATGAATTAAAAATTTAGTATAAAGAGTATAGTAGAAAATCTTCTTGTATTTTAATTACTCTCAGCACATGAGATATTTTTTAACTAGCCCATTTTAGTGGGGGGAGTATTTTTGTTCAATTATTTCCTAGAAGGTAGAACAGTCACATCTCTATTTCTCTGAATAAAACTTGACACATGAGTTGTATTTATGCACTCTAAGTTCTAGGTTATGATGGGTTAATTAAAATGTGACTTAGTCTATTTTGCAACATGCAGGTACTCTGGCTTTTCCTTAATCTAGGGAATTTCAAAAGTAAACATACACTAAAACCTACCATTTTCAACTTCCAGATCAGCTTCTTTGGGATTAATAGTGGTGACAGCTAAAAGAAAAAGAGAGCAAGTACTAGTCAATAATTCCTCTATTAGTTAAAAGTGTATGTATACGTGTACACTTATACTTACTATGCATATAAATAAATACATAAGTCTGTCAAGAACAGAGAGACAATAATTTGAAATATGTTCCCCATAATTTAAAAAGTAATTAGATCCACTCTATGTAATTCAGTAAATATCTTTCATATATTATGTTTTTGTAAAGAAAGATGTTGACCTTCATGATGGATAACTTTTTCCTTTTTACCACAACTGGAATATGATATCCAAGTCTCTCTAGTTTTCTGCTGTATTAACAGCTCCTCATCCAGTATGTGCTCCAAAACAGTGATACTCAAATACACGTTCAATGAAAAAATAAATAGAAAATTGTCTGCTTCATAGAATCCAGCAAACACCACTAATTCAAAGTGCTGAACCCCAAAAGAATCCATCCACTCCTAGAATCAACACTGGGAGGAAAGAGTCTGATTTAGAGAAATTTTTAATGTAAATACAGGAAAGCAGCTGTACCTTTCCACCTCATACATATCTCCAATATTCTTTATTGATGCACATAATTTTCTGGAGGCATGATGTCTGTGGACATGACACATCAATATTCATGAAATTGGTACCTATTGATTGATCACTATTTGATAGGCACTATTTTAATGCCTCACAAGCTTTGTATTGTTTTAAGTCTTCATTAACTCTTAAGTGTTGTATCATGAAAGTTCCCGTGCCATGAATGAGAAAATAAAATGTAAAGAGTACATTTAGCCTTCCGAGAATCATACCAGCGAGTGGCAGGGCCAGAATTCAAAGGATGTTGAGGGAAATTAAAAGAGGGCTTGTGCAAATTACTTTGTAAAAATAATGCACATAAATGTGAGAAAGTAATGAGTAGAGATAACATAATCTCCTAATATCTTTAGTACCCTTAGACAATGCCACCTATTTAAAATAATAGGAGCTGAGCATTTCAGCATGATTCCTTCTGGGGAGGAAAAAAATAGGCCAAGTCACATTTATAATTCTCCAAACAGAGACTGAGACTGACAATTTCATTTACCTACGATTACAAAACAAAGCTAGAGTAACTTGATATCATTCTTTCTCTAGTCATACAAACAAGAATCAAGTAAATGAATGAATTCCCTTTGTTGAAATGCTGCAGAGCGTTGTACTATATCCTCTAATTTACTACTCATAAAAAGATCAGTAGTTTTCTGTATTAATGTGACATGAAGGAAATGATGGATAATGTGAAATGCCATTCAGTCTATTCTGAAGCAACCAGACATTCTGAGTTTTCTACTTACATGAAGGAAGTTCAAAAGTTAGGATGATCAATAGTGGACAAATGATATGGCATGAGATGAAGGCAAGCACATTCTAAAACTCACCATATCCATCTTTCAAATTGGCTTCTCTGGGTTTCATTGTGGTGAAAACTAAAAGAAATGAGAGCAAATAGCAGTCAATTATTCAACTCTATTATCCGATATTTAATGTATTCATTTTGTCCACACATATGAGAGAGATACACATTAAAAATGGGAGCCTGACTGTTTCAAAAATAACTGTTGTCTGATTCAGTTAATAGTACTTGTATGTTATGGATCTGCAAATGAAGATGATGAAGTTCCAAAAGTTTATATATGTATATGTTTGTGTATATTTATATACACACATATGTATACATACATATGTATTTTTAAATTACAACTGTTTTGTTCTATCCAAAAAAGTGAACTTCAAAAATGTTACATTTCTTTTTCCTTCTATCACAACCTGAATGCACATCCAAGGCTATGTGTTTCTGCTCTGTATTCATAGCTCCTCACCCAGGAAATTACCCAAAGGCAGTGATCCACAAATACATATTCAATGGAATAAGAAGCAGAAAATTGGCATCTTTACAGGATCCAGCACACATTACTAACGTGAAATGTTGAGCCCCAAAGAAATCCATCCAATCTGAGTTGACAACAGAATCAAACACATTCAAAGGAGTCTGATTTAAAGAAATTCCTCATCTGAACAGAAGACAGCAGCTATATCTTTCCAAGTCATGTATATTCCCAGTGTCCCTGGTTCATGCACATGAATTGCTAGAGATGTGATATTTGCGGGCATGAGGACGTCAATACTGACACAATCTAGTAACTATTAAATGAACACTGCTGTGCCAAGATCTTGGTTAAATGCTTCATGTACATGAGGGAAGTAGTTTTTAAAATAATCCATAGAAACATACACAAAATAATTTATAGATAAATAATTCCACCAATGTGGACAAAAGGGAAATCTTCTCCTATAGGATCTTAATTATTCTTAGCCAAAGACCTTTTCCTGTTTCAGGAGCTCAGCATTTCCATGAAAGTCTTTCAGAGAAGAGAAAGAGAGGCCAAGTCACATTTCTAACTCTCTGAATAAAACTAGAGGTGATACACACACACACACACACATATGTATATATGTGTATATAGCCTTATGCATATAATTGTGTGCATATATATATACACACACACCATTTTTAAAAAATCAAAAATGTTACAAAAATTACATTTTTTAACTGATTAAAAGACAGAGTCACAATGGTTGTTTTATTTTATTATTTTTCTCTAGATATGTTCTTGTTCTTATGAATATACTTCCAATATGGATTTTCGTTGAACACTGAGTTTTCTGTTTATACTTTTAAAGATGCAGTTGGGGTATAGGCCTTTTGGAGTTTGTCCCAAAACATAAATGTGAGTATTGTCATGTTTAGATTTGAAATATTTTCAATAACTGACTTTTGGATCTTGAAAGTATATTAGTTTTCTTAAAGTGACTTTATTCACTAAAAGATAAATGAAAATCACTATCATCATGAACTGATTTGAACTGATTGAGGTAAAAAAGAATAAATCAGAGTCCTTAAAAATAAAATCTGTGTATTCTAAGTTGACTAAGTCAATATTGGTTATAAAGTGAAACTGATTAACTTTATTTACCATAAAATAATAATTTCATTCATTTGTACTTCTAAGTGCTATCTGTATAAAAAATTTTTCAAGAATCACCACTGGAAAAGCACTTTAGAATGACATGGACAGAAGCTCCCTCCTCAGCTCTGGAGCCATGGAAGTTCATGAGAGGAATTTGTTTTAAAATTTAGTGCCTAGTAAATCATTATTAAACTGAAGCCTCTCTCTTACATGATATTCATCACTATGGAAATTATTATTATTTTTATTTTTCCCTGATCACTAGAAAAAATCTGAACCTATTTGGGCACGTAAGCATAGTGGTTGACTTAACCTTGTGCTTTACATATTTGTCTCTCTTCTGTTTCTCAGCAAGGGAAATAGAAAATTGGGACTGTCTTTGTATTCTTACTTTAGTTTGTTTTAGGAAAGGCTATAAATAAGTGCAATAAATAAATAACTGAATCCATGATCTAGCTTTTTTCTGCTGACAGTATTTCATTTGATCTTTGTCATATCTCCAGGGAAAATCAGGCAACCTCATTGGTCATTGCAGAAAGTAAGGGTCCCAGAGACTGAAGCCTTACTTGGGAAATCTCCGTGGTTTGTGGCAAAGGTCTTCACCCCTTTTGCCATGTGCATGTTCCTTACTGGTAAAAATTGGTCTTGCAGTCATAAGGAAAATTACAAACAGATTGCTTCCCATGCCCAGTGGGGCATTTCGACTGATGTTTAACACTCAGGACTGTGATGCCTGGTGAGTCACTGGACCACTGCAAGGCCTCTGCACATTCAGGCCTCTGCCCAGCTGTGTGGATTGTATCCTACTGCATCAAAAAGGATTCTTCTGGGACATGGGTTCTGAGTTATGTGTGATCCTGAGTGATAGGGAAAGAGGATTCACTCTTGGCTGCAGCAGGAAGTACTTGGGGCACTAATCCTAGACTATTCATCCATATTCCAACTCAGTCCTGGTGTGTGCTAGCAGAACAGGAAATGTTATGTAGCTGCATTTACTAATGGCAAGAAATATATGCATCGCAGAGAAATGAACTCTCTTCATACATGTTAGCCTCATTCAAGCATACGTTAGGAAATTTTGTCTAACAGTAATATATAAAATAAAAATCAGAACAACTCAGGCCACCACAAAACTTCAGTGGCCAAGGTTGTTTCTTTCTTTCTTTTTTTTATTAGTTGCTCAAGCCAATACAATGATTTTGACATATCATGAATTTGATTCATATATTATTTCTTGCTTTTTGAACTATGCTCTAAGTCCTGCTGAGCATCATTTTGTTAACTAAATACTCCTTCTTTGTACATTGAACTTTGTGCATGGCAAGATTGAAGTCTGTGACTAGCTTATATGGCAGAACATTCCTGAAAGATCTGTAATTGTTCTGATTTCTAAATCAAATAAAATCATCAAAAGTGGAAATTACTTTTCAGCATTAACATTCTGCTAAATGCTTTTATGTATGTTGTTTTGTTTAATCCACACAAAATTTTAAAAATGCAGTCTGTGGTTTTAATTTTTTTAAATATTGAAAAGAAAGTGAGAAAGGCTAAGATAAATCTTTCCATATATAGACTTTATGATGTCTATAACATTTTATTTCAATAAGGAAAATAACAGGGAATTCATACTACCCTGAAATATGATTTTTAAGAAAGACTTATACTTGTTTTTCATTACTACTTGATTGAAAAGGTGAATGATTCCCTTTCAAATATTTTTTCTGGAAGTTTATATTTACATATAAATGCACATACCTTTATTCACTGCAGGAAAGAGAATCTCTTGATCAACTCCTCCTCTATTTTTCTCATGTTTGATGATACATCTGTGCTCTTTATCCATTGACTTTCCAGTCACGGTGAGCCAGCTCATCTTCATGTATGTATCTTTAGTCTTCATGGTATTTCCGGGCTGGGATTCCAGAATCCTATCACCACCTTTCTCTTTCCAATATACCTTAATAACATCAGGGAAAAAGTTCTCAAGAACACAAAGATGTGTCCCAGCCTTATGGAGATTTATTTCAGCAACTGAAGGAAGGAAAATTGTGGGCTTGGGGAAAATGTCTGCATCAGAGCTTTTATCTGTAGAAGAAATGCAATATCAATTTAAGAGAATAATTAAAGAAATACAAATATTACTTGTTTGCAGTAACTAAGCACATAGTGAAAAGAAAGTGATAAACCTTTCCATGTATAGACTTTTTGATGTCTATAACATTTCATTTCAATAAAGAAGACAGTAGGAAAACAAGTTGTCATTTAATTTGTGCCCACCATGGCCTTTCATTCCTCATAGGTTGCAAAGTATTTATTATTGTTCTTACTTTAGAGATGTGCAAGGAAGTTAAGTTACTTGTCAAAAGTCACAGCCATAGAGTGGCAGAGCTTGGATAAAAACTTGATCTTTGTTGCCTTCTTCACATGCTAAGTGGGTTGTGACTTCTAACTGTTCATAAACAAGGCTTTCTACATTCACAACCCTACTTTTTTCCCCTATCTCTTGTTTTCTGATAGTGGAGCATATTGTCAAAGTGTAATTCAGAGGAGGGGAAGACAGCCAGGCCACTTTAGTGATCTGTCTAGATGAGGCTCTGTGCTCTCTTCTAAAGTACTTCCCTTGCCCATTCTTTGTCTCTTCTGCTCTCTGGACATATAACTCACAGTCTCATGCTCTGTGATATTGTAAAAGCCTGTCTTCATTTAGCTGATTCTAGAATGCACATTATTTGTCTTATTTCTCATATGAATAAGTGACAGGAGATGGGCTTTTTTGTGTGTGTATGTTTTTAATAATACACTGTCACTTATTTTACTGAACAGTTATTTCTGTGAAGACTTACTTTTTGATGTCTATCTCTCAGATTCAAATGTATATCCCTTGCCCAGATCTGAAGCTTTTTGGGTTTTCCTAACTAATTTCTAATCTTTTACAACATCTCACATTCACATGTGAACTACTCCAGGCTTTTGGGTTGGGAAGTATTTAACCCTGTACTTCAAATTTCACAGTGTCTTGATTTTTGAAACAAAATAGCAACATTTTCAAAACTCTTAGTAAAAGTTTGTATTGTTATTTCTAAAATTCTATTATGTTAATCTTTTCAAGTAATGTGCTTATCAAAACTATTGCTTTTGAAAATGTTTGTCAAAAACAGATTTTATTTTAAATTTCTTATGAAGTTCAAGCATCACTGCTGATACCCCAGGGGTATTTTCTTGCTTGCTTTGATAGGAAGTGACTAGTTTAGGGAGAGGGTCCCATGTCATTACCCGTGTGTTTGGGTCCAAAAGTTTGTATCAAACTTATATCTGACATCTGAGTTCTGATCTTCCATTATTCTCTTCATTTTAACTTGATGAATAATGTGCATATATAATTGGTGTAAGATTAAAAGTAATGGTTCAAGAGTCTGTCACAGATATAATATCAAAACATACAAAAAAAGCATCACTAGTTTACAATGACATGTCATGTATATCTGATGTTAGCTAGTTTTAAATTTATTTTTAACTAAGGACTTAATGTAAATGATGAAATGATTTCAAGTTGATTTCCAATTAAAATTAGAATACTTTACAAATACTCCGTTTGGTCCAGTATGAAGTTATAATAATTCAACAGGCAATTTCTTAAGAAAAGAAGAATTGGATTTCACTTTTAAGAAGACAGGCTCAAAAGTTCTTGATTTCTGTCTGTGTAGCAAAGCTCCTCACTTTTACACAAAATCAGAAAGCATAAGATATTCATCTTCTTGGACATTTTATAAATATTATTGGGTCCTAGTGTACTTTTTAAATTTCACTCAGCTTGCTTTAACACAAACAGTAAGAGACTATACATTTACCCAACTGTATACATTATTTGTAGTTTAAAATGCATGTTATAAAATTTAAGACTAAAATTTCAACTTCAATTTTCTACTGATTATATTTGTATAATTTTATTCAAAATCAATATGTTAAGAACTCTAATGTTCATGTAAGGGACTTGTGGTTATATAACATGGGCAATATTCTGATTCATTATAATGAAGAATTTGAAACTTAAATGATGATTGGAAAACATTTGTGAACAGTTTCCCACCATTATCACTTTTTTCCTTTATAGTTTAAATTTCATGCTTTAAGGATAAAATGAATCTTGAAATTCCATAACCTTCTCAATAACAGTTGACTAAGCATTAAATAGTGTACTTGATTATATGCAGTTAGTACCTATGGTCTGGTTCTTATATTATATGCTCTTCTAAAGTATTACTTTTAGATATATATATTACAACTATTTTCAGGGTCAAACATTTTTTAACAATACATAAAATGATAGTCGTAAATAGAATGACTACCACATATATTATTTAAAAAGTCAGTAAACCTTTATAATTCATTTTTTAATTTGTTTTAATTAGTTACACATGACAGTAGAATGCATTTATGCACTTTGATATGTCATACATTGATGGGATATAATTTCTTATTTTTCTGAGTGTACATGTTGCAGAATCATATTGGTCATGTACTCACATATATACATACAGTAATAATGTCTGTTTCATTCTGCTATCTTTCCTATCCCCACATTCATTTGCCTAATAATATTACCTAATTTGTATTTTAAGATGTAGTGATTTGAATTTCATATGTTTATCAAATATAAACTGAATTAACTACTGAAGTTATATTTCAAAACTACATGTGAGATTTTATTTAAATATAGTCTATTTTTGTTTCTATTTCATCAACTAAGTTGTAATAGCTATTTCATGTTCAATATGCATTTTAGATTTGTGATATGATTCTAATGGTTTCATTTATTTTATATATTGACCATTTTCTGTGTGAATTTAATTTTTTTTCTGACAAAGATGCAAAAGAGTAATCTTATTGGCTATAAATTGTAGGACAAATAAATATTGATGTAAGAGACATGCTCAATTGAGATAAAGGTCTAAACTTCAGAGCATGTATAACAACAGAAATTCTTTAAACACATTTTAGTGTTATTTTATTAACAAGTGATAAATTCTGCTTAAACAAAAAGCTTAAATACCTGCAGATTAATTCTTTTTTTCTGTAAGCAAATGTTAAAGCAACCTTCATTGCAGCAGTTAGAACTATACTTGAATCCTCTGGAAATTTTCTGCTCTGTAGTAAATGTTATTGGATCAAAACATCTCTCCATAGTGGAAATGATACTCACTTCGTGTTTGAATTGGAAGAAAATTTACAGGGTATCTATTATGTGTTGTGCAATGTACCAAGAACTTTCTTCTCATTATCTCATTCAGTTCTAACATAACCTTATTAAGTTCATACTATTACCCCTTATTATGAATTAGAAAACTGAGGTCAAAATAATTGCCAAACCTCACTAAGCTCTGAAGGAACCAGAGATCCAGGTGGACCTACCTGAAATCTTCTGTCTCTTCCCCAAAGTTTTAACCACTAGGACAAGGAATGTGTCTAGTCCACTGAGTCTATCTCTGACTTGTATATAATAATAACATTTGTCCCAGTGTCAAATACTTAAATAATATCATTATATAAGAGCATCCATAGAAGTTCACATATCTACAAAGACGAATCCTACTATAGTATTTGCACAATATTGTCTATCATGTACATTAGCTAAGAATGTGTATTAAAATCTCTCCTAAGATTTCCACATTAAACTCCCTCACTCTCCTCTTTTCTCCAAACATTCATAATGTTATTCTGGTAGAATCATTTCTTGCCTTCCCTTCATTACCTTGGAAATATTGTATTCTTCTGTTACTCACCTGTGACAACAAGTTTGGTTCCAACACCAAAGACCTTCTCATAATTCCACAGTGATTCTACCCATACCAAAAATGTTGTGGTTTTTGTATGATGTGTGTGGCTTCCCTGAGTTCTTTAAATTATAATGGCAAATGATGGTCTGGAATTCCTAAGAAACAGGGTTATGGTCCTGCTTAATTTTGCTCATAACAGGATCTATGAGCAAATCAAATAACTTTTAAAGATTTTGGTGTTTTATTTATATTAAAACAATGACGAGAATGTCAGTGGATTCAATAGCACTGTAAGCAGTCAGTGAGTGGAAAGGCTTCCTGTGTGTTGTGCAAAATAATGGCTCTTTTCCCAATCAGTAGTAGCAAGATACATGACATGAATTCTAGCTTTCAACAGAATACTCAGTCTCAATGTTTTTTGTTCGGCTCATGCTAAAATGCAGCTTCCAACTGTTGGCTTGAACCTTCAAGGCACAATGACCAGAGAAAGGGCAGGAGGCCTGGTCCTCAAAGCCATCTCAGGTTTCTATGTGTTTTCTGTAGACCCAATCTGCTGAGGCCCAAAGGATCAGAGTATTGATGCAAATGTTTGTTAGTTCTGTGATAGAGATGAAGACATGTTGAATTTAAACATGGTGACAGTACAGGAAAATAAGAGGCTTTCTTTCCCCAAACAATTCCAATATGGGGGTTATCTTATGGTTAAACAGAGGCATAAGACAGGCAATACAGGGGGCCTTATGGTATAGCCTTTGTGAAACCTCTTATATGATAAGACGTTCTTCCAGCCTTCTGATCCAAAAATCCAACATGGATAAGATATCAGCCTAAAATAAACCTCAATTAATGCTATTTTTGGAGACAGCACTGGTAAAAGAAAAAATAGTGAAGGAATTTAATATGAATTAGTAATTATAACTTGGGACTAAGGTCTCTAAAGTTTATACTATTTCACACCTTTGTAGAGTAATAATGAATAGGCAAATGCTTTCCCATTGCTTTGTGAAGGGACAGTATCCAGTGTCACCACCATGCATACCTGAATGATTTAGAACATTGAGAATGTTATGAGTTTTCTTCCAGATGAAGCCTGAACAAAAATTCCTAATTGAATGGAAAGATGAAAAATGCAATATTTCTCTCAACTGCTACTTTTGTCAATATAATTTTTAATTTTGTAGACCAATCAATTAAGAAAGTAAATATAAATAGGAAGATATTTCCTATCTCTTTAATTTCAAAGACAACCAATCATAATAATCATACAAACACTTAATAAACATATATTTAACGTAATACATCAGTATTTTGTTTTTCGTATGTGTACAAGAATAAACATCTGGCTTTATTGTGAAGTAACTTCTTTTTACAATCCAGTTCCCCTTGATAGGAGACTTGATGAGCTGTTCCAGAATGGCAAAACATAATGATGAGCCCTTAAACAATTTCTTGCTGAAAAGGACTGATCCTCTTGACATGAAAATACCTACTGGAGCATCCAGAGCATTGAAACTATGCTTCAGAGGATCCTAACCAGTGAGTATTACTGCATCTTTCACAGCCTGAGTATCAAGGCAGCTCTGACCTACAAAGTAAGGAATGCATATTTGGTATGACTTCCATGATATCTTTTTGGGAGAGAGGAGCAATACAGTGACATGATTAAAAGCAGAAACATTGTTTTCATACATAAGAAGTAATATACATCATGAGCTGTTACTAAGTAGTCAATTAAAGTGCCCATATAAAGACAAGAAACAGAAGAATATCACAACAGGACTAGTTTTGCAAAATAATATTATGATCCAGACCAAGTGCTTTGGAGTCACAAGTCTCCACTGAGTCTCAAACTTTGCCACAATTGCAGGTCCTGGAACTGGGAAGTAATCACACTTCTTGAGCCTTCACTGGGAAAAAGAAATGAGAGGTTTTCTTATATACAGCTGTTGAGTGTTGAAAGTAGACATTGAAAGTCTTTAGCATGATATCTGGCCCACAAAAAAATGTTTCACCTAAAATATTATATTTCTTTTTAATGTAATGGTATTGGGCCATTACATTAACTTCTTTTGCCAAATACAATACCACTTGTCAATATGAATATCACTTATTCAGAATATTGAAGAACAGAAGTGTTTCATTTCAGAGGCTGGAATTTTTTTTATTAATTTCTGATTTTTGGATTAGTATGCTCATTCTATATTTGGAGTTTATAAGCCATAAGTTCCACACAAATTAGAAAATGAGCTCAACTCAAGACCTCCAGGCCTCTCTGGAAGTCAGAGGCAAAAGCTATAGGGAAGCCCAATCAAGACAAAACCTAGCAACACTCACCCATGGGCCAGGAAGTTTTTGAGTATTGAGCATGTGTATTATCTACACTTTTATCTCCACCATTCAACACCAAACCCATCTTCAGTACATGTTTAGAGAGAGAATGCATGAGCAAATGAGAATGGAAAACCTTGGATTGAAGTGGTTCGTGAACAAGCAAATTTCTGTCATCTGTGCCATCTGCAGGCAATATAACAAGAATCACTGTGGCATAGAGTTCGAATAATGATCTTCCATCTAATGAACTACAGAAACGTAAAATGAGACTTATTAATGTTCTATAGCAGTTTCCTATAAGAATTATTATTATTATTACTATTACTACTATTTCTAGGGGTGAGTACAAAATCAAGAATATAGATTTTTCAGGTTATATGGAGAATACTATGTCAAATCTCAAAATACAGAGAAGACAAGTAATGAAAACCTGTTTGATGATTTTAATGTAAAATGCCTTCTATAAAAAAGGCTTTTTAAAGCAATAATTCACCCTAGTACATAGAAATGGTTCTTAAAATATTTTAATTTTTACACTGAGGCTATCCTTTGTGTGTGTATACATTCTAAATAAACACCTTCAATCCAGTTACTGATGAGGAAGAGAAGGAACTGTCTACGAAATGATTTTGTTTCCATATCTAGCAGCCCAGACTTAAAGAATGGTCGATCATGCTCTGAGGACAAGAATGAGGCAGAGACAGATAAGATTGATTTTGAGTTATTATTTTTTAAGTAAAAAAGTCTATTCATTTTATGTTACTAGAATAAAATAGAAAATGTTGCTTACCAAGAGGAATTGCTATGAATTTATTCCTTCCTACAAATATCTTGATGCAGCCTTCACTATAACATTAGCCAAATTGTCTTCAAAAAATCTCCGCCTCCTCCCAAGCTTCATGACCTGACCAGCAGTTCAGCAACCTTGCCTGGGCAGGTTGATCCTCTGGCTTTCTTTGGAGTTTGACCATAGATTTTGTGTCACCTGATTATTTATAAGTTTTCTCATGAATTGGTCTTGTAAATTGTTTTTCATTTAGGTGAAGCCACTGGAAAGTGATAAAGGAAAATGGAAAGGGTTGGAGAAGAAAAAAAATTAATGAGTAAGGGAGATGTGAATTTTTTACGATGACTTGCCAATGGGGAGAAAAATACATCCCATGAGTATCTATGACACATCATTACTAGGAGGCAGAATAACTAGAATAGGGGTACAGCCCACCACATAGATGAGTGGGAGTTAGATTTGGGCTCATGGTTTCCCTTTGTTGAGTGTACAGTGAGGACAGGGCAGGAAATGGGATGGGGCTGATTTATCTGTGTACCAGGAGCAAACATAGTAACATGTTGAATACCGATAAAGGCAGGTCTGAACCACTTTGCTAGTCCACTAGGCACAGTAATACACAGCAGAGTCACTTTCTTCTAAATATATTTCTGATAAAGAAAGAAAGTAAGGCAACCGAGCATGGCTTCATACCCTGACCAGGGGGACAAGAGCTCACGGTGACCCATGGTCTCAAACTGCTGCCATGAGCCATAACTTAAAGGATAGTTGAGGCCCAGTGAGGTTCTGAGACAATTCTTTGGTACACAAATTATTTGGTAAGAGAAATATGAGAGGGAAAGAGGCCCCAGAGAGAGGAAATAGATACAAAAACCTATCCACCAGGTGAAGGAGGGGAGGAAGCATGGTTAGATTTCTGAAAAATATTTTATGAACATTCCTAGACTATAGCACCAATAGTGAAACATGCTGGTGGGATACCTCCTGCATTCTCATGCCTCCTGATTATGCAGGGGCTTGGGCAGTGTCCTTACCAGTTTATGATCTTTTCTCTATTAGATTTTGAAAGTAGCCTATGTGGGATAAAAATCAATACCCTCAGGCTAGAAATGTCAAAAGCAGGCTGCTATTTGAAGTAACTTGTCAGAGACTCAACACCTAGCAGGAATGAAGGTTGGGATTTGGAGCCAGGTGTAGCTGTAGAAGTACATTGCCTCTATGAAGACTCTATACAGTGATGGAACCACATGTGAGCTGCTTTCCTTTGGGGCAAGTACAAGTGCTGAAAAGCAGTTCCTGCCATAAATGCATACACTATCTGAGCTGTCTGGGAGTGAGTCACTCAGTGGTCCTGTGGAAGATTTTCAGTGCCCTCAAATAGCAAAAGAGCTGTTTGGTCTTGGCCAAGTAATTTTGCCTCCTTTTCCCCTCTATGAAAAGGGATGTCAGGGAGTTGCTTTGTGTTTCAGTGGAATCCTGTAAATAAAGTTTGTAATATAGTCATAGGTATATGGAAAACTCTCAAGAAATGTGGATTATTATTGTTTAACCTCAAAACTAGACAGATTGCAGTAGATGATCTCTGGGGACCACAGGCAGTGGAAATTACAGATTATGACATGGTTTTAGATAATCAGGTGATGTTTCTGTGTGTGTGTCTGTGTGTATCCCCAAAAGAAGAGACCTAATTTGGACCAGGGCAGGTAGGACATAAAAGCAAGACCAGGTCACCAGGAACTCAGAATTGGAGAAGATGGGTGTTGGGAAGCACAGGGCAAGGAACATGTGCAACGATGCTTGCAGAGACAGACTTAGCCTTGACTCCAGGGGAAATGCAGGTTCATGTTCAGTTATGTCAATTGCTCATAGGACCTTCTAAGTATTCAGGCAAATGGCCACAAGGAGAATGTGGTGGGCATAGAAGAAGGGGGGCTTGATTCTGAAATGAAGTGTTGGGTCCTAGGGTTCTCACAACCAGATCTAGAACCTGAGCTCCTCTTCTTGGGAGAGAACCTGAGAACCAGGTTTGTCAGTGCAACTGAGGTTCAGTTTCCTGTGTCTCCTGAGGCAGGCTTTGGGTTGTGCTGATTTAGTGACTCAGTGGTCAGATATAAAGCTAATGAAATGTTTTGATAAAGAATATTCTGGTACTAACATTTACCTCTTCTGTACACATCAAGTCCAAATGTAAAATTTACAGCTGGGCCAATGTTGGCAGAGTGAAATAACCCACAGGAAGACATGCAATATAGATGGTGAGCAATGGAGTGGTGAGAAAACAGCATTTTTTTTTCCTATCTATTTTTTTTCTATTTTTCAGATTTCCAGCTATGATAAAATATTTCTTTGGGGGATAAAAACTATTGCCACCAATTGTGTTATAAAAACAGATTTTTTATTTTGTTGTCAGAATTCACAATTGTTTCAATTGTTATTATCACTCTTATTATTGATTACTTAATAAAATCTGCATGAAATCTGCAGCCACAAAGTTTTTAAAAAACTTTTTTTTCTTCCATTACATTTCCTGGTATAACATTTCTGTGCTTGCCTTCAGATGGAGTAGGCCATATTCATCATGTTAGACACAAATATAAAAACTATTGAGGCACCATACTTGGTTGGGCAAGATGCAGCCCAAGAGGAGCCAGGGTGGGCTTACTAGGCCTTTAGCAAGGGTCAGTAGATTCTCAACAAGACCCTCAGGGTTTCCAGTAAAAGAGAACCATGGGGTTGAATGAGGGAACACATGTGCTCCCAAACTGTGTCAAGAAGCTGTAGTCCCCGAGAAAACCACTCTGGTGGACACAGACGTCAGGCTGCTTGGGGTGGCCATGTAGAGGGTGGTAAGAGCAGAACAGGACTCACAGGGACCCTGTGTGAAGATCCAAATGCTAAGTGTGGGACCTTGTTGACTGACCCATGTAATCTGATCTTGAGATTTTATTTGTCATGTGTGTGCTCAGGCTGAATGTCGAAGTTGTCTTTATTGTAAAAATGGAGTCTTTTTCCTTTTTGTGAAAAGATGTTTTTGTCGACCTACAGCACATCAAACAGTGGAGCATAACTCAAAAGGAGGTCCTGACATCAGTCCTCACCATTTTCCAGTCTGTCTGCCTGTTTCCTCTACCTCACACCTACTAGACGTTCTGCTTTTAGTTTAATGAGGAACTTCCACAAGATTTTCCATAATGATTACATTAATTTATGTTGATATGAACAGTGTCTGAACAATTTCCTTTTCTCCACATCCTTAACAGCACCACTGGTCTTCTGATTTTTACTTAATAGCTTTCCTAACACATGAGAAATCAGGAACACCTTTAAAAAAAATCATAGGTAGTGCACTATAAATTCCCACCTGGCTAGACACTTGAATACAGAAGGGAGGTCTTGTTCCAGGGGCCTCTCTGTGACTCATTGTGAAGAGGAGAAAAGAAATGCAGGTGACTTCTTCAATATCACAAGACAAGGAGTAGCTGAGGGAGGACTGGAACACCTACTCTGTTATGGTAAGATAAGAGGTCACCCCAAAAGCTCATGATGTGTGAGACAATGCAAGAGTGGTTAAAAGAGAAATGGTTGAGTTACCAGAACCTTAACCTAATCATAGTGTTAATCCCTTGATAAAGATTAACTGGGGGGGGGGGGGTGACTGTAGACAAATAGGGTGTTTCTTGAGGAGTGGGATTATTAGGAGCAACCCTCTGGGGTTTCTATTTTGTCTGTGGTGAGGGGAGCAATAGAGCAAAACAATTTACCTGTCAAAAATCACAATTATTATAAAGCTATGGAAATGAAAACATTGTGCTCCTAGCAAAGGGATACAAAAAGTAGGGACTCAGCGCACTTGTCAAGTTGATGGTGTTCATGTTTAGTGACTTGCCTCTGGCTGCATCCTGAGCAAAGGTGGCCAAAGGACAGGCAAACATGCACAGTGGAAATGAGAAAGCAATGAGGGCTATATTAGCACATGTCACACTCACCATCGCAAAGGTGATGCTGAGAAACGGTGGGGTAGCAGGCATCAGACAGGAATTTAGGGGAGAAATTGGCTCTCCACATAAGAGCCCCACCTTCTCCATACACAAGTACTCAATTTCTGGCAGATGAAAGATTTCAATGTGCAAAATCATCACACTCTTGGAAGGATACAAATGTGTTTATGCTTCAAGATGAGGGACAGGCTTTATTAAGGTATGAAATGGTTACCATGTGGTCCCTGGCAGAGCACAGCAAGTTAACACAAGCGGTGGAGGACACAATGCTTTCTTCCTGAGGTAACAGGAAGAAAAGAAATGAAAGTTTGACCTGGTTGTGGATGACCAGCCAGGGATGGCAAAGGCAGCACAGAAGGCTGAGATCAGAAGAAGGTGTGGGAGTCAGCGGGGAGTCCAGGAGCAACTTTGTAGAATAGCTGGGTGTGTCAGGCTGGGGACAGTCCCTCCTTGTCTTACCTGTTGGGTAGCAGTGATTCAAGGTCAGTTTTAATGTTCCAGAAGTGGGAGTTTTTAAAAAGTGTACATTCCCAGCTTCCATTCCTAGTTTCAACTCATTGTGCTGGGTTCTACCTACACTCTTTTATTAAAAACATCCCAGTTCCTTTGATGTAGGTGGTCATATTCAAAAACCTCTAGAGAACATAATGAAGTATTAGATACATCTCCATTAATGTTAGGAATAAGAAAGAGATGTTTACAATCATGAGTGACATTTAGATAGTCTGAAGAATCTCAACCTTAACAATTTGGTAATGTAAGATGAAGTCAGAAATTGAAATGAAACAATTATGACTGTGGGCATGAAGTCTTCATGAGGCCTAAATATTTTATTCTATCCTTTCTCATATCCTGAGTAATGAATCAGAGTCATACCCAAATATTATCTGTAGATCCTAGTTGGATAAATGACACCATACAACAAGCCTTCCACAATGCTCTCCTAAATGTCACCTCTAGGTGATCAACCGTAAATGACCTTGTGTTCTTACCAGATTGAATGTTCCTCTACTAGGCTCTAGGAGAGCTAAGAGAATGATGCTGTCAGCCGGGATGCTTGACCAAAGATGAGAGATTGGTTTGGGAGTCAGTTAGGGGCAATGTAAAATGTTGAGGGGGTACTGAGATAGACATGGTGAGGTACCCCTTCCTTGCTTCATGAAATTCACAGATGATTACCACATTTGAATCCAGGTGACTGACAGCATTCTCCATTCCAAATTGGAAGATATTTGACTGCCTACAGGGATAACATCAACAAAAATTAATGAGTACAGGGCATATGAATTCTTTAGTAAGGCTTGCCAATGGGGGAAAAATACACCCCATGAATATCTATGACACATAATTACCAAGGTCTGTATGGCTAGAATTAGGGCTAGAGCCCACAGCATAGATAGGATGGGATTTAGGCTTTGAGCTCATGATTTCCCTGTGTTCAGTTTACAGTGAAGCCAGGGGCAGGAAATGGGATGGGAGCTCATCTAATTGTGTACCAAGGAGCAGACATAGCAACCTTTTGAGTACAGATAAAGACAGGTCTGAACCACTGTGCTAGTCCAGTAGGCACAGTAATACACAGCACAGTCACTTTCCTCCACATTTCGTATTGCTAATTTACATCTCCCATCTGTGCCTTTATAAGCATCATATTTTACCAAAGTGCTTTCTGAATCCCGTACAACTTTGGAATTTACAAAATCATAGTAGAGAAGGCGTCGTGGGGCTAGCCCTTCTTTGAATTGATACCAGTGGATGTAGGTACTTGCTAAATCACAAGTGATTACCACATATGACCCAGGTGAACTCGTGACTGACATCATTCTCCCTTCCAAACTGGAAGATGTTTGACTGCCTGGAATGGTAACAACAATAAAAATTAATAGCGAAGAGGTAATGGAATTCATTGTTTTGTCCTCTTTGGGAGAAAACAATATCCCATGGGCATCTGTGCCACATACTTACCAGGAAGCAGGGTGGCTAGAAGTAGGACTAGAGCCCACAGCATGCCTTCTTCCCTGGGGCTTTGAAGGAAGAGGATGCAATGATAAGAGGAGAAGAAAAGCCTCAGCTGATCCTCCTGACTGAGTCAGAGGCAGGGTGAAGTAACTGAGAAGCTGCCTGAGAAGACAACCCAGCTATTTACCCAGAAGGGGTGGTGCTGGGAGGAGCCCTGCCTCTCTGCTTCTGCCCATTCTTCACATGCCCCCCTGTGGCCTCTGAGGGCAGGCTCTGTAGAGAAGCCAGGAGCCTGGAGAATTCAGAGCTGAAGCAGGTTGAGCACAAGCATGATGGGAGGCTGAGCCTTGGTAGACAAAGTCTCTCTTCTTGAACTTCACATCTCTGAAGTTTAGAGTTTTCATGCTGCTGCTGTAGTCATGATCATGTCCTGAAATGAAAGTTCTTTATTATGGCCTGAACTAACTTTAGTTATATCTGCACGTTGTCTTTGGGATACCCACTCACTGCAAATTTGATAAACCTTGGATCTATTTTCTGAAAAGCATCTGGGGATGTTGGCTGCACTACTCAGTGCAAGAACATGAAGCTACCACAGGAGGAGCTCTAAAAGCAGAGCGTCCTAAGTCACATGCAGGATGACTTTGCAGGTCCCAGTGTACTCCATTGTCAGTCAGTTCATATCATGATCCTTCCTCTGTTCACTGAGACTGGGTCTGACCTGTCAGTTAATAATTTGAGGAAAGTCATGGGATGGATCATAATGGAAAGACTGACTGCTTTATACTTTGAAAGACATAACCTTATTTGTCTCAGGAGTCAAGTTGAATATATACCTAGAAGCCCCTGAAGACACCACTCTGCAGGAAGGTGGAGGATTTACCTAGAAACAATGAGGTCCAGAAGGTGACAAGGCAACCTAGCATGGCTCTGTGTCCTGACTCGGGTAGCCTGTGAACTCAAACTGCTGCCATGATCCACAATTCAGTGGGTTGTTGAAGTCAGGTTAGGTCATGAGCCAATTGTCTGATAGAGGGATTTAATTGGTAAGTGGAAAAAGAGAGTAAAGAAGAGGCCCCAGAGAGTGGGGATAGATACTCAAATGTATCTACAAGGTGAAGGGAGGGAGTACACATGGTTAGATTTCTGAGAAGTGTCTTATGAACATTCCTAGACTAATTAGCAGCAATAGTTAGAAATTCTGGTGTGAACACCTCCTGTACTCTCACACTGCCTGAGTGTTTACAGCCTTGGACCGTGCCATTTTTACTTTATAGTCTATTAAATCTATTAGATTCTGAAAAAAAAATAGCCTAATGGGATAAAAATCTATATTCTCAGTTTAGAAATGTCAAAAGCAGGCTGTTATTTGAAGATTGAATACCTAGGAGGAATGCAGGTTGGGAGACAAAGCCAGGTACAGCTATAGAAGTTTCTTGTTTTTATTAAGATACTCTACAGTGATGGAACCACATGTATGCTGCTTGAAAAAACAAACACTGAAAAGCAGTTTCTGCCAAAAATTCATACTCTGTCTAAGCTGTAGGAAAACATGTCACACAGTGGTCCTGTGGGAGATTTTCAGTGTCCTCAAATAGCAAAAAAGCTGTTTGGTCTTGGGCAAGTTATCTTACCTCCTTTTTCCCCTCTGTGAAAAGAAATGCCAAGGAGTCATTTTGTGTGTCAGTGGAGTTCTGTAAATACAGAGTGTAATATAGTCATAGATACATAGGAAAAAACTCAAGAAATGTGGGTTACAATGGTTTAACCTAGAAATTGGACAGGTTGAACTAGGTGATCTCCCAGGATCACATACATGCATTGGAAATCACAGATTTTGAGATAGTTTCAGATAATCATTTTTTTTGTGTGTGTGTGTTTGTATCCCTCAAAGAAGAGTTATAAATTGGACCAGGGCATAGGTAGGACATAAAAGCAAGACCAGATCACCAGGAACTCAGAACTGGAGAAGACAGTGTGTTGAGAAGCACAGGCCAAGGAACACTTGCAATGATGCTTACAGAGACAGACTTAGCCTTGACTCCAGGGGAGACACAGCTTCATGTTCAGTTATACCAATTGTTCCTAGGACCTTGTAAGTATTCAGGCAGTTGGCCACAAGGTGAAGGTGGTGGGCATTGCAGGAGGGGCTTGGCTCTGAAATGAAGTGTTGGGTCCTCGGGTTCTCACAACTAGAACCAGCTTGTGAGCTCCTCTTCTGGGGTAGCACCTGAGAGCCAAGTTTGCCAAAATAATTGAGGTTAAGTTTCCTGCGTCTCCAGAGGCAGGCTTTCAGTTGTGCTGACTTACTGACTCAGTGGTCAAATATAAAGCTAATGGAATTTCTTGACAAAAGAATATTCGGGCTCTACCATTCACACCTTCTATACACATCAAGCCTGAATATGAAATTGACAGCTATGCCAACATTAACAGACCGAAATAATCGAATAATAAAAGAAATTCAATTTAAATGGTACACAATGGTTTCTTGAGAAAATGGCATTTTTTTTTCTTTCTATTTTTCTCTATCAGATTTCTAGCTACAAAAAAAAAATCTTTCTTTGGAGGATAAAAATTTATTGCTACCAATTGTGCTATGAAAATAAATTTTATATCTTGTTATCTGCATTCACAACTGATTGTCTCAATTGTTATTATCACTCTTATAAATTACTTGATAAAATCTGTATCAAGCCTGCAGCCACCCAGTTTTTTCAGGGACATTTTTTTCTTTCCTCCACTAGTTTTCTGGTATGATGTGACTGTGCTCTCTTCTGTATGGTGTAGAGCATAAGTATATACATTAGACACACATTTAAAAAGTATTAGGTTACCAGTTAGTCAGGAAGCAGGCCAGGAAGAGCCAAGGTGGAACTTCCCAATCTTTAGCAAGTGTTGGAGGATTCTTGGCAAGACCCTCATGGTTTCCAGAAAAAAAAAAAAAAAAAAAAGTAGGGTTTAATAAGTAACCACATGTGCCCACAAAGTGGATCCTCATGCTATTGTCCCAGAGGAAACCACTCTGGTGGAACCAGACCTCCAGCTGCTTGGGGTGGCCATTCAGGACCAGAACAGGACTCATAGGGACATGTGTGAAAATCCAAATGCTAAGTTTGGGACCTTGTTGACTGACCACCTGGGATCTGATTTTGAGATTTTAATTGTCATGTGTGCATGTTCATCACGAATGTTAAAGTTGTCTTTAATGTAATTATGCAGTATTTTCCCCCTTTTGTGAAATAGTTGCAGTTGTTTGTCGTGCTACAGCATATCAAACAGAGGAGCGTAACTCAAAAGGTGGTCCTGACATCTGTCCTCCTTATTGACCCTCACCATTTTCCACTCTGTCCACCTCTTTCTCCTACCTCACACCTACTAGAAGTTCTACTTTTAATTTAATGAGGAATGTCCATAACATTTTCCACATTGTCTACATCAATTTACATTAAAACAAACAATGTCTAATGATTTCCTTTTCTTCACATCCTTAACAGCACCACTGGTCTTCTGATTTTTAGTTAATAGCTTTTCTAACATTTGAGAGATGAGCAACACCTTTTTAAAAAGACAATCCTAGGTAGTGCACTAGAGATTCCCACCTGGCTAGACACTTGGATACAGCTGGGAGGTCTTGTTCTGGGGGACTCTCTGCTACTCATTGTGAAGAGGAGAGAAGAAATGCAGGTGACTCCTTCAGTATCACAGGACAAGGAGTATCTGAAGGAGGATTGGAATACCCACTCTGTTATGGTAAGATGTGAGGTCTCCCCCAAAAGCTCACGTATGAGACATTGCAAGGGAAATTAGAGGTGAAATGGTTGAGCTATGACAGCCTTAACCTAATAAGTGTATTAATCCTCTGATAGGTATTAACTGGGTGGTGACTATAGACAGGGTGTTACTGGAGGAGGGGCATCATTGGAAGCATCCCTGACAGTTTATATTTTGTTTGTGGTGAGAGAACCTCAATTGGTCTCTCCTTCACTCTTCCTCTCTCTCTCTCTCACTCTGATTCCTGGTGTCTATGTCCTGAGTCATATTCCTTAATAACACTCTTCTGCCTTTATGTTCTCCCACACTTTAGAACCAGAGCAATGAAGCCTGCCTTCAGTGGATTGAGATGTCTGAAACTGAGCCCCCAAATAAACTTTTCCTCCTCTAAAATTACTCCTACTAGGTCTTTCGATCATAGCAAACAACAAGCTAACTAAAGCAAGAACTAATTTTTTTGTAGCCTCATATTCTACAATTGCTTTTTTTGTTATGCTTTATAATATACAGAAAGCATTTCTATTTTACATACATAACATATATTGGAGGTTTATTCATTGAAAAAGTAATGTGAAGAGATTTTTTAAGGCCAGAGCAGCCTATCACAATGTCACAATGATTATAAAGCTACAGAAAGAAAAACATTGTGCTCCTGGCAAAGGTATATACAAAATATGGACTCAGCGCATTTGTCAAGTTGAGGGTGTTCATATACAGTGACTGTGCCTCTGGCTACATCCTGAGCAAAGGTGGCCAATGGACAGACAAACATGCACAGAGGAAAGGAGAAAGTTAAAGGAGAAAGTTACAATTGATATGTTATGATTAGCACATGGCAAACTCACCATTGCAAAGGTGGTGCTGAGAAACAGTGGGGTAACAGGCACCAAACAAGAATTTAGGGGAGAAATTGGCACTCCTCATAAGAGCCCCACCTTCCCCATACACAAATACTCAATTTCTGGCAGATGAAAGAAATCACAGACAGAGGGCCTGTCTGTGGTGGTTCCTGAATCACTAACAGTAGCCAAGTGGACCTTTGCAATTCTATTTCTTGAAGTATATACTCTGACATGTGTAAGTAGATAACAAAAATTAGCATATTTACAACAATAATCTTTTCCTATGTTCTCACTCACCCACAGTAATATGGTTGCTTACAGTGAGGTTGATTTGTTCAAAAAATAATTATGACTGTCTGCATGAGGTAGGTCTTCATGAAACCCAAATATTTTATTCTATAATTTCTCATAATCCTGAGTAACAAAGCAGAGTCATACCCAGATATTATCTGTAGATCATGATTGGATAAATGACACCATACAACTAGCCTTCAGAATGCTCTCCTAAATATAAACTCTGATTTACCCTAAACAACCTTGTGCTCATAACCAACAGATTTAATGTGCCTTCACCAGTCCCTAGAAGACCTTAGAGAATAATGCTGTCAGCCAGGATGCTTGGTCAAGGGGAGAGAGAGAAGTTTGGAAATTTGGTCTTGGGGGACAGCTAGGTGCAAAGTACAGGTGTTGAGGGGGGAGTGGGAGAGATATAGGTTGGAAGTTAGGCTTCAGACTCATGATTTCCCTTTGTTCAGAGTACAGTGAAATTAGAGGCAGGAAATGGGATGGGGGCTGATCTCTATCTGTATACCAGAGCCAGACATAGCAACATTTTGAGTACAGATAAAGACAGGTCTGAACCACTGTGCTATTCCAGTAGGCACAGTAATATACAGCAGAGTCACTTTCTTCCACATTTCGTACTGCAAATTCACATCTCCCATCTGCACCTCTATGTGCACCATATTTTAACAAACTGATTCCTGAGTCCCGCACAAACTTGAAATTCACAAAATCATAGTAGAGTAGGCGTTGTGGGGCCTGTCCTTTCTTGAATTGATACCAGTGGATGTAGGTACTTGCAAAATCACAAGAGATTGACACATATGACCCAGGTGAACTTGTTACTGACATCATTCTCCCTTCCAAACTGGAAGATGTTTGACTGCCTGGAACGGTAACAACAACAAAAATTAATAGCAAAAAGTAATGGAATTCATTGTTATGGCCTCTTTGGGGGCCTATGGGCATCTGTGCCACATACTTACCAGGAAGCAGGATGGCTAGAAGTAGGGCTAGAGCCCACAGCATGCCTTTTTCCCTGGATCTCAGAAAGAAGAGGAACAGATGATAAGAGGAGAAGAAGTGCCTCCCTGCACTGAAAGCCTGCTCAAAATGGAAGGGATTACTCCAGCTGTGACTTAGAGGTGACCCTTCTGACTGAGTCTGAGGCAGGAAGAAGTAACTGAGGAGCAGCCTGAGAAAACAACCCAGGTATTTACCAGAAGGGGTGGTACTGAGAGGGGCTCCTGCCTCTCTGCTTCTGCTCACTTCTCTAGAGTGCCTCCTACCCACATTGGCCTTACACAGATGAGGAGAACTAATAGTTGAAGCAGGTTGAATGCACATGATGGGAGCACAGCCCTGGATAAAATGTCTGTTTTCTTGAACTTCAGGTCTCTTAAGTTTAGAGTTTTCAGGTTGTTGTTGGTGCCATGATCTTGTCCTGAGATGAAATTTCTATATTTGGACTGAACCACCTTCATTTACAATTGTAAGTTGACTTTTGGGCAACCTCCAACTAGAAATCTGACAAGTCTCAGATCTACTTTATTTAAAGCATCTGGGGATGTTGGTTGCACAGGACATTTCTCTAACTCAAATGGATGTATGTGAGAGTTATGGGTCAATGCAGAGACATGAAGCGACCAAAGGAGCCCCTCTGAAAGTAGAGGGCTAAGATGACATCCAGGATGACATTGCAGGTCCTAGCATACTCCATTGTCAGTCAGTTCAAATCATGATACTTCCTCTGTTTAGTGAAACTGAATCTGACCTGTCAATTAATAATTGAAGGAAAATCAAATGCTGGATCATAATGAAAATACTCCTTGATATGTTGAAATTGCATATCTTTATGTGTCTCAGGAGTCCAGTTGAATTTATACGTGGAAGCTCCTGCAGACACCACCCTGCAAGAAGTTGGGAGACTTACTTGGAAACAGTAAGGCCCACAGATGGCCAGGCAACATAGCATGGCTCTGTGTCCCAACCAGGAGAGCAGGAGCCAAGTGTGACCCTGGTATCAAATTGCTGCCAGGAGCCACAACTTGATGGGTGGCTAAGGCCAGATTAGGTCCTGAGCCAATTTTCTGGTACACAAATTTAAATGGTAAGAGAAATAAGAGAGGGAAGAAGAGGCCCCAGTGAGAGGTGATCGATACACAAATCTACCTACAAGGTTAAGAGAGAGAGGATGCACAGTTACATTTCTTAGAAGTGTTTTATGAACATCCCTAGACTAATAGCAGCAATAGTGAGAAATGCTGGTGGGACACCTCCTGTGCTCACACCCCTCTTTTTGCAGGGGTTTGGGCAGTGCCCTTACCAGCTCATGGTCTTTTTTTTTACCTTCTGAAAATAGCCTAGTGGGATAAAAATCAATATCCTCAGTTTAGAAATGTCAAAAGCATGCTATTATTTTAAGTAACTTGTCAGAGACTGGACACTTAGTGGGAATGAAGTTTGGGAGACAAAGCCATGTATTCCTGAGGAACTACCCTGGCTTCTTTAAGACACACTTTCACTTTGAAACCATGTTTGTGCTACTTGCTTTGGGGCAAGAACAAGCACTGATTAGCAGTCCCTGCCAAAAATTCATAGTCTATCTGATCTGTATGAAAGCATGTCACTCAGTGGTCCTGTGGGAGATTTTTCGTGCCCTCAAAGAGCAAAAGAGCTGTTTGGTCTTGGCCAAGTTATTTTGCGTCCTTTTCCCCTCTGTGAAAAGGGACACCAGGGAGTTGCTTTGTGTGTCAGTGGGATCCTGTAAACAAAGTGTATAATATAGGCATAGATACATTGAGAACTCTCAATAAATGTGGTTTATTATGGTATTACCTCAACACTGAACAGCTTGCAGTAGGTGACCTCTAGGGACCTCAGGCAATGGAAATCACAGGTTATGACATGGTTTTAGATAATCAGGTGGTGTATGTGTTTGTGTGTGTGTGTGTGTGTGTTTATGTGTGTATTCCCCAAATAAAAGGCCTAATTTGGACCAGGGCATAGGTGGGATATAAAACCAAGACCAGGTCACCAGGAACTCAGAATTGGAGAAGACGGGGTATTGGGAAGCACAGGCCAAGGAACATGTGCAATGCTGTTTACAGAGACAGACTTAGCCTTGACTCCAGGGGAAATGCAGGTTCATGTTCAGCCATGCCAATTGTTTCTAGGACCTTGTAAGTATTCAGGCAGATGGCCACAAGGAGAAGGTGGAGGACATGGCAGGAGGGGCTGGGCTCTGAAATGAAGTGTTGGTTCCTTAGGTTCTCACCGCCAAACCTAGCTTTGAGCTTCTCTTCTGGGATAGCACCTAAGAGCCAGGTTTGTCAGAGTAACCAATGTTTAGTTTCCTGTGTTACCAGAGGCAGGCTTTGGATTGTGCTGATTTATTGACTCAGTGGTCAAATATAAAGCTAATGGAATTTCTTGATTAAAGAATATTCTGGTACTACCATTTATACCTTCTGTACACATCAAGCCAAAATGTGAAATTAACAGCTGTGCCAATGTTAGCTGAGTGAAATAATCTGTAGGAAGACATGCCATGTAAATGGTGAGCAATGCGGTAGTGAAAAAACAGCATTTTTTTTTTGCTTTTACTTTTCTCTTTTTTTTCAGAATTCAAACTATAAAATAATATTTCTTTGATGGGTAAAAGTATATTTCCACTAATTATGTTATGAGAACAGATTTTATATTTTGTTATCAACATTCATAACTATTTCTCTCAATTGTTCTTATTACTCTAATTAATTACTTAATAAAATATGAACAAAATCTGCAGTCACATAGTCTTTTTAGGGACATTTAAAAAATTTCCTCCAATACTCTTTCTCGTATAATGTTGTCTGTGCTCTCCCCTCAGATGGTGTGGGGAATGTTTATCTAAATTAGACATACATTTAAAAAGTATTGGGGTAGCTCTCTTGGGGAAGATGCAGTCCCCAAGGAGCCAGGGTGGGCCTTCTCGACATTCAGCAAGGGTTCGGAGGATTTTCAGCAAGACTGCCATTGTTTCCAGGAAAGAGAAGCATTGGTTTGAATGAGGGAACCACACCTACCCCCAAACTGTGTCCTCCTGCTGTTGTCCCAGAAAAAACCATTATGGTATACCCAGACCTCAGGCTGCTTGGGGTGGCCATGCAGAGGGTGGTAAGAACAGAACAGGATTTACAGGGGAACTGTTTGCATATCCAAATGCTAAGAGTGGGACCCCATTTACTGACTCCCTGGACACTGTCATTGAGATTTTATTTTTTCATGTGTGTGTGCTCAGGCTGAATGGTGAAGCTGTCTTTATTGTGAAAATGAAGTATTTTTTTTCCCTTTTGTGAAACAGATTTTTTTTATTGTCCTACAGCACATCAAAAGGTGGTCCTGACATCTGCTACCTCATCAACCCTCACCATTTTCCTACTCTTCTGCCTTTTTTCCAGTACCTCACATACAAGAAGTTCTGTTTTTATCTTAATGAGGAACTTTTGTAACATTTTTACAATTACTTCATCAATTTACATTACTACAAACAATGTCTCAGTGATTTCCCTTTTTTGACATCCTTAACAGCACCACTGATCTTCTGATTTTTAGTTAATAGCTTTCCTAACATATGAGAGATAAGCAACACTTTTTTAAAAAGAAAATCATGGGTAGTGCAAGATAGATTCCTACCCGGCTAGAAACTTGTAGATAGAAGGGAGGTCTTGTTCCAGGGGCCTCTCTGCAACTCACTGTGAAGAGGAGAACACAAATGCAGGTGATTCCTTCAATGTCACAGGACCAGGAGTATCTGAGGCAGGATTGGAACACCCACTCTTTTATGGTAAGATGTCATGTCTCCCCCAAAAGCTCATGTGTGAGACAATCCAAGTGAGTTTAGAAGTGAAATGGTTGGGTTATGAAAGTCTTAACCTAATAAGTGTGTTAATTACCTGATAGGTATTAACTGGGTGGTGATGGTGGACAGGTGGGGTATGGCTGGAGGAGGGCCATCATTGGGAACATGCCCAGGTGATTATATTTTTCTCTGTGGAAGGAGAGCTCAATTGGTCTCTCCTTCACTCTCCCTCTCTCTCACTCTGCTTCCTGGTGTCCATGTCCTGAGCCACATTTCTTCATCATACTCTTCTGCCATGATGTTCTGCCACACTTTAGCACCACAGCAATGAAGCCTAGCTGTCAGTGGACTGAGGTTCCTAAAACTCAGTCCCTCAATAAATTTTTCCTCCTCTAAAATTATCCTTTTCTGGTCTTTTGGTCACAGCAAAGAAAAAAGCTAACTAAATTAACTACTTTTTTTTAGCAACCTTGTATTCTACAATTGTTTATTTTTGTATATGCTTTATAATAATCACAAAGTATTTCTATTTTTGCATGTGTGACATATGTTGGAGGTCTATTCATTAAAAACATAATTTGAAGAGATTCTTGAAAAGCCAGAACAGCCTATCAAAAAGTCACAATGATTATAAAACCACAGAAATGAAAACATTGTGCTCCTAGCAAAGGTATACACAAAGTAGGGACTCAGCACACTTGTCAAGTTGAGTATGTTCATATACAGTGACTGTCCCTCTGGCTGCATCCTGAGCAAAGGTGGCCAATGGACAAGCAGATGTGTACAGTGGAAAGAAGAAAGCAGCAAGGGTTATATTAGCAAATGCCACAGTCACCATCACAAAGGTGGTGCTGAGAAACGGTGGGGTAGCAGGCATCACACAGGAATTTAGGGGAGAAATCGGCTCTCCACATAGCAGCCTCACCTTTCCAATATACAAATACTCAATTTCTGGCAGATGAAAGAAATCAATGTGCAAAATCGTCACACTCTTGGAAGGATACAAATGTGTTTATGCTTCAAGATGAGGGACAGGCTTTATTAAGGTATGAAATGGTTACCATGTGGTCCCTGGCAGAGCACAGCAAGTTAACACAAGTGGTGGAGGACATAATGCTTTTTTCCTGACGTTACAGGAAGAAAAGGAATGAAAGTTTGACCTGGTAGTGGATGACCAGCCAGGGATGGCAAAGGCAGCACAGAAGGCTGAGATCAGAAGAGGGTGTGGGTATTAGGAGGGAGCCCAGGAACAACTTTGTAGAACAGCTGGGTGTGTTAGGCTGGGGACAGTCCCTCCTTGTCTTTCC